TACATTTTTTGTAGAGAATTTCATGGTCTACAATTTTTATCTGAAGTTATTTTATGATGAAAGTATGATAAAAGAAAAACCAATTTTTTTCGAGATTTTTGACCTTTGACCTCGAATATTTTTTTCCCAGGCATCGCAATCATTCAGAATTTCAAAATCTTATTTGTAACTATGTTTTGAACAATTACACGCGTTTGCATCTTGTTGTAAATTTATGTACCTTGCAATGTCTACATTGACCGGATAATACACACGTTTTTTGCTGAATTAATTGCATTATTGACGCTTGTGATGCCATGTTTGGAACCTTTGATGTAGTAATTACTAGAGTTTTTCCCCAACACCAAACCGTTATTTCAACACCTCGACACGTGTTTCGATCACCAAGTGATCATCTTCAAGTGGTAGATCAAAGTGATCTTTTTCTTGAAGAATTAGTTTCTGTATTGAAAGAGGAGTGTTGGGATGGGTAATCAATTTATAAACAAACCAACCCAAACCATGAACCATGCGGTTTTTCCTATTGGGGCAGCATGTGTTTTTATTCAGAAATGGAATCATATTTACGAATTCCATACATTAGACGGCAACAAGAATTTTGAACTTTATATAATCTTTTTTTATCTAAGTCATATGAGTATTCAAGTTTTACACAAAACCAGACTGTCCCTGTAGATAACTCGAAGGATTTGTTGTAAAACTTGGGGTTAAGATCCCAAACTAATCCATTGGATTTATGTCATGATTGTCAGACCAATGATCACTTATGGTGCCAGAGACAGGCTTGTCTGGCCATAAGTGGTGCCATCAGTTCCACACCGTCAGCGGCCATGGATATCCTTCTAGATCTACCTCTTCTCCAAATTTGTCTGGAAAGAGGCTGAATGGACTGCATATAGAATTGTGCACATTGCCAATTGCACAAATCAATTTAATGCAGAGTTGCAGAGTGTAACAGACTGTTGACACTGGAAGGTCATTTCCAGCATTCTGGAAATGACCTCTGACTTTATGCCTTCAATTGTCAACTACGAACTGCCTTATAAAGTACTGTTCCCGAGTAGAGAGGACTGGAAAATATTAAGAGCAGATAGTTGTTGGTTCACAGATGGATCTGGTGCAGATGTTTCCAGTCGCAGATCCAGGGCAGAGATATCAACCTGCGTAGGAACCTATGCGACTGTATTTCAATCGGAAATTAACGCTTTTGAATTGTGTGCGGAGAGATTGGAAGAATCCAACCAAGTTGGAGGCTCTTGGCTCCTACCGAGCAACATCGAAATTGATAGCTAATTGCCAAAAACGACTCTCCTGTACAAGGAGACTTAACAGATTGTCTCTGGTCTTGATTCCTGGCCATACTGGCCTGAAAGTCAATGAGGCTGCCGACTTCCTTGCAGAGAAGGGTGCTGCAAGCAGCTTCATCTGACCAGAACCTGTCATTGGCATCGCTTTAGGCTTTGCCAGACAAATATTGAACACCTGGATGACAAGACGATTCATGGACTTCTGACAGAATCTTCCAGGATTGTCTCACTCCGAGGCGTTTATTCACCTTTCGAAGCTTGATACCAAACAGATGTTGGACTACAGTAGGGACGAACTACGGTGTCTAACAGACCTTCTTACAGATCACTGTCATTTGAATCATCATATTCAGAGACTCGGACTCTGTTTGGAAAATAGATTCGCTCCCCGCTGGGGAGCGAATCAGGTTTTTAGAGTTCGGCAGAGCCGTACTCTTACTATGTGACCTGAAATACCACTCACCATACAAACTAATCGGCTCGTTAAGAAGCTGGGTTTATTTGGCCGAGTGTGAATAGGTGTGAGCCACAATAAACCCTTGCGGGTGGGGTGAAGTGTCGAATAGACCCACTAACTTTGGGCCTAACCTAACCTAACCATATATGAGTATTGTCCTTATATGAAATCACAGTAGTTGAAGTGGCTTAGCACACCATACTGTCATAAAGCATTAGTTTTAGAGTTTGGCTTGAAATAAAACGATTGAAGTATAACGGTTTCAGTGACATATAGGCTTTTTTCATTGAATCTACAACATATTCAGGTCGGTGCCAAGCAGCACCCCTGAGTTTTAATCAGTACTGACAGGAGTCAAGAAAGTATGCTCTTGTTCTAAGTGGAAATTGTTTTCTGCAAATTCACGATTCTTCTGCGATATATAAATACATCATTGTTTCATTAGGATCAACTTCAAATTATGTTAATTTGATAGATAATAATTGATCTTGTTCCGTTCAAAATTTGAGAGGTGTGGGACTTTTTACAGCCGCACCGTACAAACTCATAATGTATGAAAATGTACTGGTCAAGCAGCAACAACAACTTGTCACTTTTCTGCTGAATATTTCAACTAGAAGAAAGTGGTTGTTGCAGATAGACTTTTTCGTCCAATTTGCATCTGTAAATAATGAATATGATATTTTTTTAAACAGTTGTAACATTTATAACACCACTTCTGATGAGAAAGTCTAAATTGGAAATCTCTCTGTACTTACACCATTTCCTTACAGGAACTTATTTTGTTAATTAATACATTCACTGAGCAACACCATAACAAGCCGAAGAAGACTTGAAGAATGCGTGTCTTCCAATAACCAGCATGAAGATCTCAAATTAATTGTCACAGTACAGTTATATAATATATAATAGTGTCTTGAGGGCATTCTTCTGATTTTTTTGTTTTTTGCCAACACGCGAAGGAACTCAAATAGACTGAGACACGAACATTCAATTAACCGCGCGAAATTATTTCACTGAACAGTTATTTGGCACCGGTAAGTAGTTTGGTAGCCGAAAGGTCAGTTCAGGATCATTTATACCATACTTTACGATGTTGAGTCATTTTATAGAGTGATATCAAGTTTTATTAATAATAATCGTTATTTCCATAGACTTGAAAATGCAAGTATTGGAGCTATCATGTGAGGTTATAAATATTACTGGAATTTTTTCCCAACACCAAACTGTTATTTTAATACCTCAACACGTGTTTTGATCACCAAGTGATCATCTTCAAGAGGAAGATCAAACTAATCCTATTTACAAAGTTTTCCTTATTCATATCATAGGTATAGTCGAAGTAATCTTTATTGTGAATAGTTAAAGCTATCGGCATCTCAAGGGCCAAAAAAAACCAATACAGAGAAATAATGCCGCTACGAACTAGTTCAATCACCAGGTGATCATTTTCAAAAGGTAGAATAAACTAAATTACATACAAAATTATACTCATTTTTCATCTGCTAGGTATCTGATCTGTGTCAAATCAATTTTACAATATTGCCTTAACTATCAGTCAGGTAAATCTGATAATAAAATACTATTTCAACAAGCTATATAATATACTATTAGGTATTGGTCCATCAACATTATACATAATATTATTGCAACTAGATGCCTGTTGTTGTTAACTTGTCTAGCTAATCTTAATGAACTAAAGTCTATGGAATGGTTTTGTTGCAAAATATGATGAGTGACTGCTGATTTTTCCGGTCTTCCAAATTTTAGGTGCGATAAGTGTTCCCTATATCTTATTTTAATATACATTCTAGTCTGTCCATAATATTTTGCATCGCAATCATTACATTCAATTTCGTAAATTTCAGACTTTTCCAAATTCACGACTTAGTCCATTGGATTTCCTACAAAGCTCTGTAGTATGATTTGTTTAAATACCACCTTCATACCTAGTTTCTTGAAAATATTTCCAAAGTTCTTCGTATATTGGTGCTATGGAACTAAGATATATCTGTCTTAACATTCAATTTCGTAAATTTCAGAATTTTCCAAATTCACGACTTTGTCCATTGGATTTCCTACAAAGCTCTGTAGTATGATTTGTTTAAATACCACCTTCATTCCTAGTTTCTTGAAAATTTTTCCAAAGTTCTTCGTATATTGGTGCTATGGAACTAAGATATTCATATCTGTCTTCTAGAAATCGAGATTTCATTCATTCCTAACCTGAACTTTGTTGTTAGTAATTTCCAATATTTCCTTTTCATTTCTGGCGCTCAAATGGTTTGAATGTTACCTTTCAGGAAGGAATCAAATGGTAAAAACAACAGGACTTCCAGAAAAAAAAAATTGTGGTGTTCCACAAAGATCAGTTTTAGGACCCATATTATTCTTATTATATGTCAATGACATTGCAAATTTGAGCATTTTTGGAAATTTCACTCTTTCCGCTGAAGACACGACGATATTGTGAAACAACAAAACCTCAAATGATTTACACAATGCAATATCTACTGATATGAAAAAAATCAAGGAGTGGTGTGATGCTAATTTGCAATCCATCAATATTCCTATTTCAAGGAAAATGAAAATTGAACACCATTTTAAATACCTATGTCTCACTCTTATCAAGCAGGAATACAAACGATTGATATATTAAACAGAAGTGATTGAAAGCTAAATAATCTTGAACTGTGTCTTTGTATTGTATTATAGTGTTTGTTTTTTCATTTTATTTTAAGTATAATAACAAATTATAATAGCTGTACATGTTTGATTACATTTACGATTGAATATGTTCGTAGTCGAATACCTTTATATGTTATTCATTCTATGTTTCTGTTTAACTATTTGTATCTCGAAACAAGTATTCACTTACTTATCGAGCATCTCGTTATTTATTTGAACTTTCAATGTGTACTTCTCATTTGTATTTGTATTTGGATCTTAAGTGAATAACATATTATCATTATTATTATTATCCCTAAAACAAACATTTCATCATTCAAATGTGCTCTTGATGGCCTGTCATTTGGTGATAACTTAGTGATCAAGAACGAGAACCAATCTAAATGTCTAGGAATTCACATTGACAATAAGCTCAAATTTATTGAACATATCAAACATTTTAAAAGTAAAATTTGTTCTGGATGTTATGCAGTGAGAGTAATTTCAATAAATTTGGGAATCAAAACTGATGGAGTTTAACTTTTCTGATACATTTTTACTTATACGGACATTTTTAGAGAGAAATTAAAAATGTGCTATAAAAATTTTAACATGACTGGTGCAAGGCGGGGCAAGCACAAAGTATATGCTCTGATGTTTCATCATTTTCCACTGTCTGTCTGTCACTGTCTTCCGATAGTCCGAATCTCTGCATATGATGATTCAAATGACAGTGACCAGTAAGAAGGCCTGTTAGACATCGTAGTTCATCCCTACTGTAGTCTAACAGCTGTTTTGTATGAAGCTTCGAAGGGTGAATAAACGTCTAGGAGTGAGCCAATCCCGGAAGATTCTGCGAGAAGTCCATAAATCTTCTTGCCATCCAGGTGTTCAATGTTTGTTTGGCAAAACCTAAAGCAATGCCAATGGCAGGTTCTGGTTCAGCACCCTCCTTTGCAAGGGAGTCAGCAGCCTCATTGCCTTCCAGGCCAGTATGGCCAGGAATCCAGACCAGAGACAATCTGTTAAGTCTTCCTATCGAGACAGGTGATAGAACTGCTACTCCCAACGCTACGTTATCAGGCTGGGGAGGGGCTGTATAGCACTGCCACCGAAGTTAAAATATACATATAATTCCTTTGATTGGGTTGGGTTACAACTGCAATCCCACTACTTGAAGGACACCTGAAAAATGATACATTGGATCATATGGGCAACCCATATTATGTGCAGAAAAGTTTGACAAACACCCGGCGACGGACATGTACAAACTAGTACAGGAAGAAAGATTCGAATAGGTTTTTTGAAAAATGAAAAAAAAACGCAGTAAGAAATGGGGCGGCAGGTTTATACTAAAGTCAAACAACTCTCATATAGCAAAATACTTGCTTCACTAATGAACACTTCTGATAGCTATAAAACAATTATTTTGCTACTTAAAATTTGTGAGAGGGATGTACTCTTGTTGGTGATTCAGTTTAATATACAGGTTATTAATTAAGTATGTACCATAAATTTAACAGACGATTCTTTAAGTAATTTTAAGACGCAATTTTCATATAAACATGGGTCCGCAAATCCTTCGTTCTCAAGATACAGGGTGTCAAAATAAATAAAAAAAAATTATTTGTAAATATCTTAAATATCCTTCACCTAATTTTGTTTTGATTTGGCAATAACATTAGGGAGGTAATTTAGCCCGAAATTTATTCAATTTATTAAAACCAGTGGCGTCTCGAGCTGGATTTGAACGAATATTTTTGACTTGAAAATGTACGCCACCGACGTTTGTGCAATTTTCATTATTTCTTTGGATTAAGCAATTAGATATACAACTTTTTTGTTGAATTGAATTTTTTTCGTATCTTGCTTGGTTTTTAAGAAAAAAAAGTCGACCTAATTGCATATCCCTGGACCTCACAGGGAATAATATGGGGAATTAAATGCTTCTTTTGGAAATTATTATTTTCACAATTCTTCATTACTAATTATGTAACATTAACAACAAATATCAAATAACATTAAGATCTAGACTAACGAATTGCACTAAATTAACGGTTGGAAATGGCCTCCTTCGGCTTCAATATAAACGTATAGCCGCCGCATCATTGAATTTCGCACTCTTCTGAAAATACCATAATCAAGAGTTGCCTTAGAAAACGATTGCAGCATTTAATAAAGAACTTGACAGTTGTTGTCAACTTTATGAGCTTTCAATTTATAATTGTTATAAAACGTGTGTTTAGTGGTTATTTTTCGAACCATTTTTGTAAAACATGGTTCAATTTACTAACAGTGAAATGGCAGATATGCATTTCTGTTATGGAATGGATCGCGGAAACTCGAATGCTGCATTACCATGAAAGATTTCCTCAGCGTGTAGTGCCTAACAAAAGAACTTTTGTACGTCTCCATGCACGACTTTCTGAAACAAGCAGCTTTAAAAGATCGACGGTTGTCATTGGGAGGCCTGCAACGGTACGAACAGTTCAAATTGAAGAAGCTATTTTAAATGAGATCGAAGTAAATCCTCACACCAGTACTCGGAAAATAGCTGGAGAACTGAATATTACCCGTGTCACAGTGTGGCAGAATTTAAGAGCCCAGCAGCTAAATCCCTATCACATGCAACGTGTGCAAGCTCTATTGCCCAGAGATTTGCCTGTAAGACTAGCTTTTGCTAATTGGTTAGGCGGTAAAATAAGAAGAAATCCAGGTTTCCTAAGTCAAATTATTGTTTACAGATGAAGCTTGTTTTTCTCGCAATTCAATTATTAACTTCCACAACAATCACATTTGGCCCGAAAATAATCCACACGCCTCGATAGAAAATAATTTTCAAGAACAGTTTTATTTCAATATTTGGGTTGAAATTGTCGGTGACCATCTCATTTGGCCTCACTTCCTTCCACCTAGACTTAATGGAGAAGAATACCGAAGGTTTTAAGAATTTGTTTTACCTGGACTTTTAGAAGAAATTCCAGTCATGGAAAGATTCTGTATGTGGTACATGCACGATGGTGCTCCACCACACTTTAGTGTAGTGGAACGGCAATTTTTGAATGAAAATTACCATAATCGCTGGATTGGGAGAGCAGGCCCACACCCATGGCCACCTCGCTCCCCCGAAATGAATCCCTTATCAATTAATCCCCGTTAATTCATGTGACATAATAAAAATAACGCCAGGTATTTTCAGAAGAGTGCGAAATTCAATGATGCGGCGGCTAGACGGTTGTATTGAAGCCGAAGGAGGCCATTTCCAACACTTAATT